AAGGTATGTACATGTTACAATAGATACATTTTCTGGCTTTATTATGGCTACAGTGCAAACAGGGGAAGCCACAAAAAATGTTATAACTCATTGCTTGACTTGCTTTTCCATAGCTGGTATCCCTAACGTTATAAAAACAGATAATGGCTCTGGCTATACCAGTCAGGGGTTCCATCGTTTCTGTTTGCAATTGGGCATTGAGCATAGAACTGGGATACCGTATAACCCACAAGGACAAGGTATAGTGGAAAGAGCTCATGGTGCTTTAAAAACACAATTACAAAAAATAAAAAATGGGGAGTTGTATCCCCAGACACCAAGTAATCTTTTAAACTTTTTAAATTTGGATAAAAATGACCGCTCTGCGAAAGATAGAATGTGGCACCCTCAGTCACAGGATACCTACGCCCAAGTCAGGTGGAAGGATCCTTTAACTGGACAATACAGGGCCCCGACCCTGTATTGATATGGGAAAGAGGGCATGTTTGTGTTTTTCCACAGGACGCTGATGGAGCCAGGTGGCTGCCAGAAAGGCTGGTGAGGTTCGCCAGACGAGCACCAAAGAAAAAAGAAGTAGAAAAGAATGATGAGGAGACAGACGTGGCTGATGATGATGTTCCCGCAAGTGATCATAGCTGAGTTATACTGGACTTATGTTCCTGATCCACAATATTGCACCCCACGATATGGGAGGAAAAAGAGATAGTAGTGACTGTGAATGACTCTTGGTTAATTGCTCAGCCTGCTTCAAAATGCCTGATGATTATTTTGGATTGGGAAGCGGGTTGCCTAGTTGCTTTGTTAAAAATAATAAGTCCGGGTGTGTACAAGTAGATGACTGTGTGCTTGTGGAAAAAAAGTGGATATTGTACCAATGTCAAAGTGTTATTGCCAAGAGATAATAAAAAAAAAAATTCTCCACAAGCATTTCCACCCTGTAAGCAGCGGCAGATATTGTAAAAAGGTTGAGAGCCACCTTAAATCCTGTGGCAAGTCAAGGCAGCTGTGCATGATATGAGATTGCGCTCCCTCCCATAACAGAGGCCGGTAGTCAAAGATGGGTAAGATCTTCTGGGAGAAAGTCAACCTAAGACAGGGCGTAGCTGATGGAAGCTACGTGCCGATGACCGGTAAGGCTTTGCTCTGACAGAAGACAACCTAAGACAGGCACGGTCCTTCTGTCCTAGATATAGCATAATCTGGGGTTATAAAAATAAAAAACGGGGGAGATGTTGGGAGCTGCTAGTCTATTATGTACATTGAGCTGTGGTAGCCTTGTTTACTGAGTTTGTGTTATGCACACCAGTATCTAATTTGCCTAATCAGGAGGAATGTGTTTATATGGAGAGCCTCACAACACCTGACCTTGAGGCAATAGTGGTAAACAAAAGAATCAAAGAAGCCTTTGATCTGACCGCTCCTTGACCCTCAGATACAGGTGGGGAAAAACAGCTGTTGTAACTAACTGAGTTCTTCTGTATAAAAAGGCAGAGCTGAAATAAACTGGGGCTGCAGTATTCACTGTCAGTCCTCCCAAGCATCTTTCCTGTCTCCTTTTCTTTCTTTCAATCCTCACTCCCCCTTTCAGGTACTGTCCGTCTTGGC